ATGTGTCTGAGAGAGAGAGAGAGAGAGAGAGAGAACAGAGAGAGAGAGAGAGAGAGAGAGAGAGAGAGAGAGAGAGAGAGAGAGAGAGAGAGAGAGAGAGCGAGCTAGCTCTGTACCGCGAGGGCGCCGCGCACGGCTCATGGTAGGCGACGGCGCGTCGCGGTGGTGCTCGCACTTGCTGGGAATGAACAGAGCGCCCGCGCAGCGCTGCTCATACGGAACTTATTGCAGAAGGACGCGGGGCCGGGCGGGACCGGACGGCGCGCTGTTCACCTGGTATGTGAGCTCCACTTGAGCAGCGGAGAGCCTAGGAGGAGAGGCCGACCTGACGTTATTATACCCACGACACACTACCACCACAGGCAGAGGCCGGTCCTTAAAGCACCCGGCGAGTCCTTCAAACTGCGTCGCGTGCGTCAAAGCGAATCCGGGAACACTCCGCCCCTCCACCGCGTAGGTACTTGCATCGGCGGCGATAGGACGGGGCGGCCAGTAAAAGTGATGAAAGAGGAGAGCAACGTCGATTGATCCGGGTGCGTTTACTGCTGGGCAGAGCCCCGTGTGGTTAGGCAACTCGCCGGCACAGCGGCACGACGGTGCAGCATCACGCCCGTGAAGGAAGCGTTCGTGCTGAGAGTGAGTGAGACAAGCGAGGAGAGGGCGCCTTGTTCTGCAACCGCAAAGCGACGCTATAGAACTATATTTTCGCTGTTGGAGTTATTCCATGTATTAGTTTAGACTTGAAGAGAAAACGTCACGAAGCGTATTACGGCTTTTCCGCGCGCGCGCGCGCGCGCGCGCGTGGGAGTCGCGAGAGCGAGTCGACGGCGAGAACGACCGTTTTTGCATTGCGCAAAAGGGGAATTCACTGGGACTGGGACGACAGTTGTTGCGGTGTGCGCGCGCGCGGTGTGCACGAGCCGAGCAAACGACGCGGGCGGACCACTCGCGGCCCCGCTCAACACGAACGCGACCGCGTGCGAGGCAGGTGGGGCGGTCCGGCGGGGCGGGCCTGGACAGAGCGCCGCGCGGACGCAGTCACGCAGGCCGCCGCCCGGGCACGGCCAGCCAGCAGCCCCCGCTGCAGCTCGGCGGGCACCTGCGTCAGCTGCACATACCACGCGCCGTGACTTACGGAGAGATCCAAACATTATGAGGGGTTTCGTTTCGTTAGAATTCATAGCGTGACCCCGTGATATTTTTACCCCTGGTTTTTTTTAAATATCGTAGAGTCTCTGTAGACTCTACTGATCTTCCTAGTCCTTTTGACCCGAAGGCATTCTCCCCACCCCCCCTCTAAAGTCAGCACCACGTAGTATGTGCACGATCCTTTATCTGCGGCTGTAGAGGTGGTAGTAGTGGACTCCTCTGTGCGGCCAGCCTTCCTTACACACTCCCGGCCTGGACACTCTTGGCATTTTCCAACGTTATGGTCCGAAGTGCTGCTCGCGGAGTGCTTGTAGGAGCCTCGCGGTGCACGCGAGACGATGCGGAGAGGGTAAGGAGCACACGAGGAGATGGGCCCGAGGATGGGGCGAGGAGAGAGAGAGAGAGAGGGGGGGGGGGTCTCGCGTGCTTTGCCTTCGGACATCACGGAGGTCAAGCCCCAGCCGCTCCACGCAACAGCGGCGCGTAGCACCGTGTGAGCCGAGCCGAGCTGACTATGGACAGTCACGAGGACGGCATACACTCACACGCGCGCAGAACGCCGCTGCGCACACTCGAGAAAAGAAAGGAGACGTTCGAACTGTTTGGCTGAGTCTGACCCCCGCATTTCGTCTTCTCTGTCCACAGGTCAAGGTGTACCGCACCTCGCTGGAGCACTTCGCCGTTGTGTTCCCGCAGAAGAAGGTGTGCCGGCCGCTGGGGTTCGTCAACCTGCGGCACACGGCGGTGGCGCGCCTGCCGGCCGCCGGCGAGAAGGTGCCCAAGGTGCACGTCAAGGGGCTGACGGCGCACGCGTCGGGCGCGGGGCAAGGGCTGCCGCGCCAGCTGCAGCACCTGCCGGGGCTCGTGGTGCGCAGCCGGCAGTGCGACTCGCCGAACGCCCTCACCTTCCTCTGCGAGGCGCCCAAGGAGCTCGAGTCGTGGCTGTCCGCCTTCGACCCCTCCCGGACGGCAACGCTGCAGGACGCGATGCGCGCGCAGCCCATCCTGGAGGAGAGCGATGAGGTGTCGTAGTCGTAGCGCCGGAGCGGAGGACCCCGCGCCGCTGCTGCCCGACGCACTACACGTCGTCGTCGTCGTCGTCATCAACGAAACGCGCGCGCTCGCCCCATCCGGGAGGAGGAGGGCGACGACCTTCCAGACGTGCTGCCCCGTCTCGTGCACCACCCCGCCCAGGGCCGGAGAGAAGATTGGAGATGGGGATAGTATTTGTAGAAGAGTCGCCCAGGACGGTTCGCCAGCGAGTTGCTGCGACTACGAGGACATAAGGTGAAAATGCACTATTTTCACCCATGTCCCCGCGTATGAAAGCTGAGATACCAAAGCTATACATGTCTGAATCATTCGCTACAAACACATAGAACGTGTTTCATTAGAAAGGAAAGAAATACGCAAAAAGACAAATTTTAACTCGTTGAGTTCGGACAGCTCAATCAAAAAAGGGAAAAAATACAAAAAAAAATATATTTATGTGCTGGCATTAGCCACGTTGTGGTCACATCGAACTCAATGAGTTAAAGGATACGACAATAATTATTGTGTCTTCAGATATCTTTCTAACAATGTCACTCTGATTTTCTCTAAGCATGTAGTAAATTATGTGTACGATTTAGAAATATTTTTTAGCTGAATTCATTGTTAGCGATTTCATTACTCCTTATACGATTCTTTAATTTAGCTAGACTGTGATATTTCTGCATGTTGTACATGCGAACCAAAGTGATACAATGTTTTGATTAGGTTTGAGCAGTATGCGCTGTTACATGCGCCGATAGATTAAAAGTCCAGTTATGTATTGTCTTTTTGTGTCTGTGTGTGTATCTATGTGTGTGTGTTTTTTGTCTGTACGTTATCACATTTCTTTAGGTTCTAAGAAACGATCTTGTATTTCTATAAAGAGTAATAAAAAACACTAGATCATTACAATTCGCTACCGGTTCTAATTACTTATCCCATTTGAAAAGCGAGGCCGGAACCTGAGAGAATTAGACACATACGATTGGGAGGGGGAAAAATCACACACAAGTAAAAATGATTTCCTTTGAAAGCAAAAGCCGGGCAAAACAGGCAGAGAATCACGCTCTCAGGCGCGAGGAGAATCACCGTGTGTCCCCGTGCGGGCGCCGCGGCCTTCACATTGAGGAGAAAGGATAGGCTCGACCCAAGGTCGCCGAGAGACAACAGAAGCCCCTCGTGTACACGGAGGCTTGTTCACCGGAGGGAAGAACGTGCAGCCAACGTGCAGCCGCAATACTGGCTCCCCACGAGGCGCCCCTTCAGCTGACGACTACGAAACGAAACTCAGTGAGAACTATATTTGTAGTTTTACAACATCAGCTGTAATATGGATGATCCGAGAAACATTTTAAGCCAGCGCATGATTGCGTAATTTGCCTCGATTTTATGCATTTGATGTGAAGTCGCCTCAGAAGCTTACAAGTCCGATGTACACATTCATGCTAATTGTAATTTCACAACGGAAGCTGTAATTTTGATTCTGAGCCGTAAACAAATAAGATTTAAAGCCCTGCCAGATAAAAAGGAGCACGCACATAATTGTAAAACTACAGTACTGTTTTGAACAGTGAAGGGCGTTTCTACGCCCAGCCCTTTCTTTTTCACCAAGCACGAGAGCAAAGGGAATCAAAAGTCAACTGAGTCACCCGGAGTCAACCCCAGGCAACGCGTAGGGGACGTCAACGTGTTTCCGGTGGGAGCGGGGCGATGAACACATCACATCACGTCACGTGGCACGACCACCTCCGACGCGACGCCAAATAAAACGATTACACAAGTTGATGAAAATGCAAATCGCACCTGCACTTTATTCTCAGTCGACTTTGTGTCGGGCAGGTAACAGGCTGCTCGAACGGCCGGACAAGGTGTAAAGGCCGCTGGGGTCTCCAGGCGAAGGCTGTGGGTTACACGGCCACCGCACCGATTCGTCCCGTCCTCCCCAGATCAGAGGACCTACTCTCTCTCCGAAACGCCCCAAAACAACAATTAGCGCGTATACTCGCATAATTTTAGGGCCAGCACACGCGAAGAGATCCACGCGAAACGAAAAGCGTTCCTAGCACTTAAAATCCTTCTTCTTCGCTACCAACAGTTTTGCTGTCATAGCTGCATTGCTGCCTCAGCTATGCGGTTTTGCCCCAGTATAGTAACAGTTTCGCCGCACTAGGTAATTCACTGTTGTCATATGGCACCAATAAAATTTTCAGGCTGTGGCAGGAAAATTCAAAGACACTGCTTCACTCGACTTCCCTACTGCCATTAAGCGCCCAGGATTTGCGCTGTCGCCTCTGTTTAATTTTCACTCGGAGACAATTGTCCGAGCGTATCATGATGGGAACCTAATTCCCCCCGATAATTTAATTGGCGGACGCAGACCTGGTCCTCTTCCTCCTTCCTCCCCTTCTCGACCTTCCGGAGCCGAGATCGTCCCCCCCCTCTCCCCCTCCAGCTCAGCGCGACCCGTTACGAGCACGTGAGAATATAATGGCGCATACACGCCTTGCGGCCAAAGCGCGTGAGATAAAAAGAGACACTGCCACGGCGGCGATCCGCTTCCTACTGTGCATGCTCTCGTTCTGCTCTCTCTCTCTCTCTCTCTCTCTCGCTCTCTATCGTCTCTATGAAATGATTGATGCCAGAGACGTCTGCAGGAAATCAATCCAATTACATCCCAGGTCGTCGCTGCATACCGCGCCCACCGCACGCTGCCTGCCGGTGGGGAGGGAGGG